AAAAAAAAAAAAAAAAAAAAAAAAAAAAAAAAAAAAAAAAAAAAAAAAAAAAAAAAAAAAAAAAAAAAAAAAAAAGAAAGCGCCCGCCTAACTATTCAATATTAATAAAGGAGAGGTGACATTTTACCCAGTGTAAATATACCTATAAATCCATAATAATAAGTTATGGTATCATTAGTATTGACCTCGTATTTTACATAACCCTTTGACAATGTATAAGACTCTACCTAAGTGATATTTCAAAAACGTCAGGTTTTACATCTTCAAGATTATGACTTCCTTGTACTTGTGAACCCTATCAGGTGTCTCCATTAATTTATTCTCAAGAAATACACTTCTTGTACATAGCATAGTATCAATGTATGGGCGAAAAATATTTTGCCTTCCAACTTGGATTGAAACATCAGTATATTTGCCACTTTCATACAGGAAAAAGAACTGAGGACAAATCAACAAACTTATTCAATTTGTGCGAATTTCGATGTGCAGATTGTGAAAGAACGAATAGCTTCGATTTGCTGTTTTATTAGCCAACCGGTTTATGATCCATATACATAAACAATAGTCAGCAAGAATGTTGTATTTTGCCTGACCAATATAGCAACACAACGTAACAAACAACAGGTATATATCGAGCCGGACGATGTTGATTTACTATAAGCTAAATTACATTACGATGAATTTGTTCATGGTATATTAAACAGACTCTTCCTTATCCCGTGTGATCGGCATACAGTATGATCCATTACTCTATATATGACCAAAATTCCATGTATGGCATACATAAACGCGAAATCATAATCTGGTTATTAGTGCGGTGTGTGAAATTCTAATACATTCCTTTAATGTGTGTTGTTACATAAAAAATGTGCCTACAGCCATTTTAAGTGATTAACAATATCGTTTATTAATAATTAATTCTATGTTTTAGTGTACACGTTTGCAGCAATGAATAAATTAAGTTAACACACACACGACGCAGGAAAACTTCAGTAGTCTCGGCGTACAGATTACAAGTGTCTAGGAACATCCAGCAAAGCGACGGCTATCTGAGAAGTTATCATTATCTGATCATACCTGGCATCAATCGCAAGATCGTTCTATCTTAACAAAGTGTTTCACGAAACAGTCAATATAGTCACACTACTAACATCCGACCAGATCGTAACACGTCCTTATGCCTTAAGACTTGAAAAATGAACAAGACATTACGAGAAATCTTTTTTTCTTCCTTCTCCGGCCACTAATTATAGAAACGTCATCTCGAACATCGCAGGACTTGGGATAACCGTACGAGACAATGAGTGGTTTGCTTTTTGCTGATAACCGTCACTTGTCGTTACCAGTCTAGTCTTTGTGAATCAGAAACACGCACTATCCATCGTACTTTCACCGTTCTTTTTCACCCGCGCCTACTCATCTCCCAAGGCCTTAAAACTAACCCTTCGCTGCTCTAATGCAAATGCATTATTTGGATCAGCCTTTAACACAACTTCAAAATCGTCTAACGCTTTGGCATGTAGTCCTAATTCGTTATAAACTGCTGCACGATAACCATATAAAAATGCCGACTTTTCTCCACCGGATATAGCACATTCCAGATCCTCAAGAGCTTTTTGATATTCTCGCTTTGCAAAATACACGCATCCTCGTATCCCAATAGCACCCATGTCATTGCCAGACTTTTCCAACACCTCATCGACGTCGCTTAATACGTCATCGAAACGTTCCAGGGCCAGATATATTTTTGCTCTTCTTTTTACCCAATACATCTCACTCGGCTCAAATATGTGAGCCATATTCAACAATTTGATAGCCTTGTGATTCTCCCCCATTTTATGGTAAACGCACCCGACAATCCCCAGTACGTCAGCATTCTCTGGTTCTACTTTGACAGCCTGTTCGAGGTCTGTTTTTGCTTCGATTATATTACCCAAAGCTTGATACACAGCTGCACGGGTAGCGTATGCGGATCCATTGTCGGAATCAAGGTCGAGTGCCATTGCAAGATCGTTTAGAGCGGGAAAGTAGGATTGTTGTAATCGGTAGATGTCTCCGCGGAGTGACCACGCACGCGAGTTAAATGCCTCGAGCGTCAATGCGGTCGACAAGTCTCCCAGTGCGGATGTGTAGTCGCCGAGCATACGATAAGCGCATGCGCGATCGCAATACGTATCATAAGATTCAGGATCAACTAGAAGAACGGATGTGCAATGTCGTATCGATTCCGTATAGTTGCCTTGCGCATATTCTATCTTTGCAGCCTGAATTATTTGATCGTAGTCCAGAGATATTGATGTCTTGGATAAAGCAGTCGAGTCTGAATTTGAAGGAGATGGGCTTAACGATTCGGATGTTGGAAAAGTAAAACTTGGGGTCGACCCAAAAGATAGATTTGTGTTGAGTTGAATAGGGGAGGGGGTCGATGTGGATTGAGTAGGAGATGAAAAGGTAAATTGAAAGTCATCGCCAAAAGGAACCGGTAGTGTATTGGGTGAAACAGTCCTGGGTTTCGGTGTTGACTTGCGAGATGGAGGCGGTGTCTCTAAGGATAGATGTGACGAAGCAGACGTTGATGAGAATGTATTTGTTGAATACTTTTTCTGAGTTGATTTTGACGCCAATGGTGATGATTCAGGCGACTCTATGGGAGATAATAAATCTACAGAAAATGAAGGTGTAAATGGAGGCTTTGTGGGATGAAGGTGACCAAAATCCTGCTTTGTGTTATTCCATGAAAAGCTGGCAAGCGGTGATATGACAGAGTCACTATCCGTCTGTTTTCCCTGTGCAGTATTCTAGTAATTAAATAATTTTATTGGTTACTATTATAGACTCACTACTTATTCGATCAGATCGTATCTTCTCACCTTTTCAGAAGCCATCCTTCCCATATCAAATCGTATTCAGTAATGCGCTTTAAAATTGAATGTAACGCAATCACGTGATCAAAAGGCGGATCCACATTTGGGTAAATAGCAACAACTTAGTTATAGCCAACCGACTGACAATATTATTAAATGCAAGCATATCATTAGAGGAAATCCGAATTGCACCCATACCTATCAACCTCTGCATCAGTGGCAGCTACTTTCCTGATCACTATGCAATGAATCAATGGAACGTAATGTTTTCTGAACATAAGATGAATGTAAGTGTTAATATTAATTCAACAAACCTCGCCTTTTTAGTAGCAGTACAGAGGTACAGCATATTAATACTCAACTACTAAAGATCGATGAACGACATGGCTTTTTTCAAGTGGCAGAGCGCAAAACTTCAAATGCTAATAATGCTCCGAAAATTAAAACTACACAACTTTAAGTTGAATAATATACGTCACCACTAGATTTAACTGAGGTTGTGCGTGTTTTTTTCGCTCATTTAGTAGTTTTTTATACAGTCTAACGTCATTTCCACCGATTTTTTTGTTAATGCAGACTTTCGTTAAAGCGGGGCTTTTGTCTTTATAACGTATTTTTATATGAATTGCACGTTTTTCGTTCAAATGAACAGTCAACAAATAGAACCATTTCGGTCTTTAGCATTCTTTATAGCCTTTATTATATCTGGTTCTCTACTAATTCTATTCAAATTAAATCCTCTGCTTTTTGTTGCAAAACATTGTTCAGTTTATATTAGCGGATGACATTGTTATTAAACTATTGTTTCACCCATATTCAAATAGAACTATGTTACAATGGAATCGCATTGTAAAAAAACTTTTTTTAGTCACAATTTTCATATTGCAAATTATATATTTTATTGTGTATTTTTTATATATGGACAAGCTCGTTCCGGAAAAATTTTCGTTATAAGGTTCGTTGAAGCGGACTTCACAGTGTACATAAACTAACAAAAGACATAAGTTACGAAAGTGTATAACAAACAATAACTTACAATCTGCAACTTAATGAGTATTGCCAAAAATTCATCTTAAATTACAGAATTATACTAGCAAGAGTTTTTCTGGCAAACAAAAGTTTGCTAGGGTTTCTTTCATGTACTACAATTCTTAGTTAAGGCTATTTTTCACAATCTAAGAATTCTAGGAATTCATGTTTATGTTTTTTATACGAGCACATAACTTAAATCTATCATAATTCGATGATTTCTTTTCACATAATACTGATACAGTGTATCACGAAAAAAAAAAAGCGAAAAAAAAGGTATTTCGAACGCATATATGTTATGCAATATAAATTATTTAGTTTCGCGGTTTTAAACTGTCAACTTTTTTTTGATCAAGTTTTAATACACAGCTCGAGACCGTAATAACCCGCCAATACTTTAAATTCCATAGAATTTATTATCATAGCGGTTAGCCCAAAACAAAGATGTGAGTTAATTCCCCGGAAGTAAATATGAAAGTATAATAATAATAATAATAATAATAATAAGCGCATAACCAACCATTTGAACATTCTGCGAAAATTTGGTGGGCAATGCTACATACAAAAGAAGTTGGCTATAGATAAATTATTATATATAGCAGTTTACACTTGCCATTCCATTTTGTGAATCGATAAGCGGCTGCAGTTTGTTCATAACAAACTTGTTCTGTATGTACGCATTACACACAGATTTTCACAGAATAACATGGTTTTATAAAATTTATAATGCTAGTTGAAATAATCTGATCTTGAATGTTAAAAAGCATTTGACTTTGATCTGGCATAAGCTTTTAACAACTCACAATTTCAACATCTACTGTATAACTACAAAAATCTTGGAACTTAACAAAGTGCTTAAGATTGTTTATCATTACAAATTACTGTTGCCACATTGCTATGCTATCTAATACTGATCGATTTTGTGTAACAATCTATCTCATCCCAACACGGGTCAGAATCTTAAAATGACGGCTACATAACCGTAGATAGGGACAAAGAATGGCAACGTGAAAATATGCGATCTTGCACGAAGAATTATCCTTTACTCAACTGCGTCTCGACCTCTTTAATAGCCCACACGAATCCAATAAATACCATCAACGCATCCAGCCAATATGAGCCGGTCGTAACAATTAATCCGCCATCACCAAAGGTATTGTCAATAATTTAAACGTCACCACTAAGGCGATATCATCGACATTGGCAATAATCCCAAGTAAATTTTCTAATACATCAAGCAAGAGAAATAATGGCCAGAGAATAAAGGCGTTGAATAACTGACAAACCCAAAGAATAAGGAGCATATTTAGTCTTTTATGCGCAAGTCAGAAACGGTATAACATCCACACAGGAGAAGGGCCCCCAAGTATTTTAAAACGCGGCGCGCCTAGCTCGAATAGGATGCCGCTCCCATCCGGATAAAAGAGTTCATAAAACTCATTAAAGATAGGAGATGATAGAGTCGCAAAGTGAATTGAAGAGTAGCTTTTTCCCGTCTTTTTAAGATGCGTACTTGAAACCCTTGGAGGAGTGCCGTCATTGTCATCTGATCAGTCTGATGACGAGATTAGAATGATTTTTCGATTAAGCTATAAAAAAAGAAAATTCAAAGCATAATGTGAATGTGGATAATGTAAACAATGTTTAGGAGCAAGGATAACGAGCAGCATATCAAAAGAGAAAGTAAATGTAGAGACTAACGTAGCTTGTGATTACGTCTCCGTTACCTCGTTAAAACAACAGCCAGTTTGGAAAGCGTAAATCTCAACGCCAGTCGACGAGTAACCCGATACAGAGTGTAAAAAAGCCTGTCGAAAAAAAAACCGATATTCGTTAGTTAATGGGTATTAATACATCAGCATTCTTCCTGAATTTTCAGCTCTTCCCTTCCCCAAAAAATACAATTTGCGATTTTACCCGAAATTGATGTCAACATCGTACTGCTTGCAACTATTGCATATACTAACGATGCATTACTACTCCAATTCGCGGATCAGAACATTATGATTAGAATTCTTGGCTATAGGCAAATGAATTGAAGTGATTACTCCCTCAATTTCAAATACACGTAACCGACAAAATTAGCTTGGCAACAGTCTACATCATCCCCAAAACGTAATAACGTTAATACCCATCAGCCAAACATTCCAATACTTGACTCCCATTCCAGATTTACATTTGCTACCAGCAGATCAATACAAAGAGAACGAGGCTATATTGATGTACGTTATAGTCTAAAAAGATTTTCTAATTCACTAGTAAACATATATTTATAACAAGTTGAGAGGAGAACAAGGGCTGTGTTAAAGTTGCTACTGGAACGTTCATCAAAAAATGAACATCCAACCCAACCCATGGAACTACTACAGCTAGTTGGTGCATAATGTATCTCCGTCGACTTGAGTGATAAAATACTATTGGCATGCCGCAGCGAATTTTTAGCCAATAGGAATAAATTGTAAGAATCATTGATTGACCATCAAGCGCTTCGCTAGTGAATGACACACAATGGTATATGAGGTACAGGAAAGCAAGAATATTAATATGTTAAATACTCTATTTGCTTATCTATTAACTATTAAATGCTGCTTTATAGGAAACTGGAAGTTCAATTCCCTCTGACTTGATGAGTTCTAGCTCGACAACCAGCTATGTATCAGACAACTTTCTCATAACGAGCACTCCTAGTGCTTCTTCAATGACGTCTGCTACATCAACACCGAGCGACACCGTAAATCAAGGCAGTTTTCCTAAAGTTATACTTCAATTAATGGAACAAGGGCTTATTTCAGCAGATGAGCAAATAAAAGAATTGTTGACGGACTCGAAATATCCTCAGAATATTTATGCACTCAAATACATTCTCGAACATAAAGGAGATTCTGTGTCAATAGAGATGTTAGATACAGCTGTGAAGAGTCTAAGTTCTCAAGAGTTTGATGAAGTGTTCTCAGGAGAAACAGCTATTAAGTTGGAATGGCAATTACGAATTATTGTAACAATACTGGAACTGTTGTGTCAAAATAATTGCCAATTTACATGTTCCTTTATTAATGGCATTAGACAAGCCACTTCTAAGTATAAGAATGCACATTCAACAATTATGCAGCATGTTGGAGAAACTTGGAAACCTAATTTTATGGGATCTAATCAATCAGACAAAACCATCAAAAGTTTCAAGTGCAATTACAATAACAGATACCTTCTCAAGCTCATTAAAAATACATTAAATACTGTTTGTGATGATAAAAACCAGTACCAGACAAATATTGATTGGGCCATTACAGCATTAAAAGGTTTACTTGTTGCTGTCCCTGGATTGGCTAAAGTTGGTATTAAATTAATTACAGGAGTTGAAGTTTCTCTTGGTGATTTTGACATAGAGAGATCCTGGAAGTATTTCAAAGAAGCATTTCATGTTGAACCATTAGGCGAACCATGGTATGCAACCTGGAGACAGCTTATGATATTACAAGACAGTCTTGACAAATGGTGTGAACAAGAGTCTGCCATTTCAGTAAGCTTTAAAGAAAGAGTGCTTCTTGAATATCTCTGGTATCATATCAGCTTATGTTATGCTGAAAATGCAACAGAAAATCAGGATGTTAGTGATGAACTCTGGTTTGGCATTTTGGATATT